TGGATGAGGGCAAAAGTGTCTGGGAGCTACTGGTTGGCCAGGCACCCAGAGTGACCAAATGTGTGGCCCAACAGGGCGTGCCTAGAGTCAAGGCTGAGGCTGAAGCAGAATGACCTTGAAGGCCAGGCTGAGACTTTTTTTTTTTTTAATATATCTCATATAAAGAGGGAGCAAGCAATGTTTTAAAAGCAGAAAACAGACATGATCTGGATTGTTGTAATTGTTTTAGGAAAACAGACTCTGAAAGTAATGTGGAGGCTGATGAGCATGGAGAGATTTGAGAGAAGGGAGGAAGAACTGTGGGTGGCTGATAGAATGAGAGGTGGGCAGGAGACCATGAGATCTTAACTGGGGCAGTAGAGTCCATCTGGGGGAACCAGTATACGCTAGAGCCCCTTGAAAAGTGGAATGAAGGGGTTGGATTGTGGCTCAGCGGTAGAGCGCTTGCCTAGCACGTGTGAGGCCCTGGGTTCAATCCTCAGCACCACATAAAAATAAAATAAAGATATTGTGTCCAACTACAACTAAAAAATAAATATTAAAAAAGAGTAATGTTAAAAAAAAGTGGAATGAATAGGATTGGGGGCAGATTGGGTAGGGGGGCACAGGGGAGCATGAGAACCTATAAATATTTGGATAATGGTGTGGTTTCTTGCTTGGGTGACTGGGTGAGCTATGAGGAGAGAACCTGAGAGGAGAGGAGAGGAGGAGGGCTGGAAGGAGGAGGAGACAGATCATGCATTCAGATGACTCGGGGACTGTCATGTGTACGCACGCCCACAGAGACCTGCTTTCAGCTGTGAAAAATAAAGCATGACTCTGAGCCTGATCCCACTCTCCTGACTCCTGTAGGAACTCTTGTCACAAACAAGGGAACTCTGAGTGACCCTTCAACAGATAGAATCTAGACCAGGCCATTCTTGTCATTCCAGAGTCACCTTGTGGTTCCAGGGCGGCCAAATAGAGAAAATAGATTTCATAGTTAGCCAGATCCCAGGTTTCCGTAGCCCCAAGTTCCCAGGAAACCCTGAGATTCCCCAGGCTTACTGTATGAGCATAAGAAATTAAGTTCAAGTCCTGGCCCTGCTCACACATGTCACATGACCTCTCCGTGTCTGTTACTTTATTTATAAAATAGATTCATTTTAGGACTTTATGAAGCTAAAATGTGTCCAGACCATATAACATGGCCTAGCATAATGTGAATGATAACTACTAGCCAATGCTGTGGTGGTTGTGTTGTTTTTATTGGTGGGCAATGCCTTGCCTTGCTGTAAGGTATGTAGATTGGATTTTAAGACTGCATTGTGTCCTCTGTGCTTATAGAAAAAGTGAGGTCTGGTCTTAAATGTTGTAGTTTCAGAGTGATATACAAGATTGACGTTCCCATGGTCCTGGGAAACCTTGTCTGTTTTATTTCATTCACTCATTCAGCAACAGCTAAAGCTGTCCCGAAGAGCTCAGGGGCTAATAGAGAACGGCATGAAAACATGTAACTGTGGTAAAATGATAGTGGCATTATAAGGTTCCTAAGTACCTGAGTGCCTATAACCCCAGCTACTTGGAGGCTGAGGTTCGAGACCAGCCTCAGCAACTTAGACCCTGTCTCATAAAGTATAAAAGTTTGGGGTATAGTTCAGTGATAGAGTGTCCCTGGGTTCAACCCCCCAGTACCAAAAAAAGAAAAAAAGGTTCCTAGGTACCTGGGGTAGGGGTGGAGGAGGGGATGCTTCAGCTGGAGGAGATTTTTCCTTGGGCAGGGCCAAACCGGTGGGGTTTACTGAGTGACCAAGGAAGAAAGAGTGCTTCTTTTGATCAAGATCATCAGGGAAAGCCCTGGGACCTGACCAGAATGGGGAGTGGAGAAGGGCCCAGATGAGGCTGGAAAGGTGACCTTAGATGCCGTCTCAGGTGTGGGACATGAGGTTGTGGATGATAGAGAGTTGCTAGGAGATGCAAGATGGCGGGAGCTTTAGGAGATCTGTGCTTTAGGAGAGTTCCCTTGGCGGGTCAAGGAATGGGATAGACACAACAGGCAGATTGATTAGCAATGGGCAGAACTGGGTAGGGATTTGGATGCCAAAGACAATGGTAGAGTCAAGAGAAAGAGGTTAAATCAATAGGCCTTGGTGACCCATTGGACAGTCAGGAACAGGTCAAGGGTGGGGTCCCTGGGACTTCGGTTGCCCTATCTACTGGAAGAGGGTGGACTGCTGGAGAAGAGGGTGCTAAGGTTAGCACAGTTGAGTTGGAGAAACATGGAAGATCCCCGTCCCTGTTGTTTGACAGACAGCTGGGTCAGGGGAAAGGTCTGGGAGGTGCCAGTAGAGGTGAGGTACCAAAGGAGAGGGTCTATGGCATGAGGAAGCACTGGGGGAGGCAACTGAATGTCAGTCTTTGGATTCAGAACTGAACCCCACTGGATGAAACCCAAGGAGCCACCCAGCTTTGAGCTCAGATTTTGGGGCTCCATCCTGGAGGTCTGGGCCTCAGCAAGTTGCCTGTGTGTAGAGCACTCATCCATCCGGGGTGCTCAGGGACTGACTGCTGTCCGCTGGCTGCAGAGGGACTGCCCTGGGCATGGTTCCAGCTCCCAGGGCCCCCAGGTGCATTGTGCTCTCTTGGGTTGCCTTAAACACGAGCCTTGGGCTGAGGTTATGGCTCAGTGGTAGAGTGCTCGCCTAGCATGCATAAGGCACTGGGTTTGATCCTCAGCACCACATAAAAACAAAACAATGTGTCCACTAAAACTAAAGATACATAAATAAACAAATATTAAAAAAAAATAAAATAACAAAAAAGACCCATGAGCCTTCCCCCTGGGCGCAGGGGCGCTCAGAGCAGCAATTGTCAGACTGGCTTCCCTGAGGTTTAGTTTGTTTTTTCTATTGGGCTAATCTTTTTTATTTTTTTTTTTGGTCAAGTTACATAAACAGTATCAACATGGGGTACCTTTGACATCAGACATCATTTTGAGTTTTGGTGGGAGGAGGCCTAGCAGGCCATGGGAGGGGCAGCCCTCCTGCTACCTTGGGAAGATGAGGTCTTGGGTGCCTAGACCTGGAGGGTTCTCATATCTGGTGTCTTGTCTGGCTGGCTGGAGAGGACCATGGCTGATAAGGGAGTAGATAGGCGTCTGGGCTGGACCTTTGTCAGGGACCACCTCCAGCTGTGGCCCCTCCTTTTGGACAGGGCTGGGCCCCAGGGGACCTGAGTGAGTAGGGAAAGTCAGAGAGCAAAGCAAGCTGAATGCTGGGGGTTGGCAAATGAAACACAGAGGGAGATTTTTGTCTTTGAGAAGAAGCACGCTACTTCCTAGTAGTCTTGGTCTGCTTTTCATTTTTCTATTTTAAATAAGGATCATAGGAGTTGGTCTGGGCGCGTGCACCAATAATCGCGGTAACTTAGGAGGTGGTTGAGGCAGGCGACTTTCAAGTTCAGGGCTGGCCTGGGCAATTTAGCAAGACTATGCCTCAAAAAAAAAGTGGATAAAGATTAGGAGTACTACAAAACACTAAAACATTTCCTTCTCATGGGCTGGAGGCAACAGGGTGGTGGGGTGGTGGGGTGTGTACACCTGAGTTAAGGGGCAGCCTCTCATGAGCCATTGCCACCACAGGGGACTTCAGGGCCAGGATGACCACTATGTCAAGGGTTTTGTTTTGTTAATTTTTCTTTTAGTTTTTGATGGACCTTTATTTTACTCATATTATGTATATGTGGTACTGAGAACTGAACCCAGTGCCTCACACATGTAAGGCAATGTGCTCCACCACTGAGCCACAACCCCAGCCCTATGTCAAGTTTTTAAGAGAATCTGGGAGTTGGGCCCAATGTTGCACTGTAATCCCAGAAACTCGGGAGACTGAGGCAGGAGGATGACAAATTCAAGGCTAGCCTGGACAATTTAAGCAAGACTCTGTCTGAAAAATTAAAAAATAAAAAGAGCTGGTAGAGCTTAATTAAAAAAATTAAAAAGCTCAGTGATAGAGCACCCATGTTCAACCCCCATATCCCCCCCCAAAAAAAACCACACACACACCAAAAAAAAAAAAAGAGAGAGAGAGAGAGAAACTGGGAGTCCTGACTTAATGAGAAGTCTCTCAATTGGCTTGAATTTTTTTAAAATAAACACTGTAGGCCAAGTGAAGTTTCCCTGTGGGCCGGACAAAGCCTGTGAGCTATAGTTAGTGTTCCCAAGTTAGTCTAGCTTTCTAATGTCCTTTCTGGCCACACCACACTGTGCGTTATCACCCAGCAGAGGAGAGGAACATTAGATAGAAACAAGCTAAATCGGTTCCAGATTTTCTCTGTCATAAGCCTGAGTGGCCTAGGGCAGACCTGGCTCTTCCTGGTGCCCACCTTTATCAGCACAGTGAAGGCCAAGTTGGCCTCTGTGGTTTTGAACCCTTTTTTATTTTTCTTTTCAACAGCAGAAGCTTTGTTTTAACTAAATCTTATCACAATGTATGAAATAGATAAAACAGAGCTGTCCCAGTGGCAGGGAGGCTGCAGTCAGGCCTGAGGCTGCCTCTGGCCTCCCCCACAGCGGCACCACAAAACAGTGTGGTGACTGCCCACCAGCTGGCTGCTCTCTCCCCACAGCCCTGACATTCTGTGGTTTGCATGGGAGGAAAAGAACAGCAGCCAGAAGGCGAGCTAGCCACGGTCTGCTGCGCAGCAGCCCCTCACTCACAGGTTGACCTGCCAGCCGTGGGTGCAGCCATCACTTCTTGGGTGCTTTCTGTGCAGGTTTGCCTGCTCATGGCAGTCAACCAGGGAGTGCTTCATGATTTTCCTGTCACAGGGTAAACCCTGACCAGGAAAAGGAGGTGAACTCTGCCCACAACGTCACTTGACTGGGAGGTGAAGGCGCCAGATGCTACCTGTGGGACCCGAAGGATGGTTTCCATCCCTGGTGTCCCTGGCATGCTTCACTTTGCAAAATCCCTTTGGTCAGACTTGATTCCTCTAATCAGGACTCCTTTATCACCATGCAGGAGGCAGAACCATCTGAGCCCCGAGGTGCAGAGGTGACAAAAAAGCCCAAGGCTGCTGTTCCTTCTGCCAACAAGAGGCCAAAGAAGGAGACCAAGAAGAAGCGGTAGAAGTGGAGGAGCCATGAGGGCCTTGGGGAGCCCACCCGGGAGTCAATATCTGTTTCCTTTCTGCATCCCAGGATCAGGTCTGAGGTGGCTGTCATGCCCTCTGACCACAGAGAGCTGGACAGTCATGGCATCCCAAAGCTCCAGCTGGACAGACCACTACTTCCTCTTCCTGCTGCCTCAGTGGTGGTTTAGAGTCAGGGTACTGAAAGGCCTGCGAGCACGCCCTGCGCTGAGAGGGTTTCTCAGGAGCCAGGTGAGCCCACAGTTACGTCTTCATACGTGATCATCAGATCCAGACAGTTTCCCCCGCTGTGGATTCACATTAGGTTTGGAGTCGTCGTCTCAAGCAGACAGGCACACCCTCTGCCATTGCTGTGAACTGCAGGTCTCCACGGCTCACTCAGCATCTTTGTTTCTCCTGTGTGAATGGAGCCAGGCCTCACCTGTGAGCTTAGGTCAGGACATCGTGGCCATGCAATGATAGTCTCTCATTGGCTGCAACAACCAGGTCCTAAAGATGCCTGGTGCAAGAGTCCCAGAAGGCCTGAGCCAGAGGAACACCTGAGTTCTCCTCTAGCATGTGGAAGGGAATTGACTAAATGAGTTTATATTTCTTGAGCATAAACATTCTGAGTTCCTGAAATAGTAGGCTTGTCAATGTCAGACCAACCTGTTTTCAACCCTTCCTGACACATTCAAGGTGTGCCTTTGACTTCTACCTGTACCTCCCCCTCCCTGTCAGTTCTTTCATCCCCTGACCATTAAGGAAACGTTATTTGAGGAAGTAAAGGTCAATAAATGGTTCCATATGCTGAACCTGCCTGTGTGTTGTCTGTTGTTGAGGGAAAGGGAACACATGGGTCCCTGTTTTGGGAGTGAGAGAATGAGTGGATCCCCGGAGGAATGGGACAGTGTGGGGTGAAGATGGCTGGACAGTGGGTAGCTCTGATCAGTGTGGTTCTGCAGGCCTAGCCATTCTGGAGCAAGTTTTCAGGAAGGGTCCCGCCAACAGCTTCGTGTGGCCCTTAGTCATTGGAAACACTTGTGAATGTCTCTGGGTGTGAGTTTCCACTCACTCCCTACATGCCTTTGCCTGAGGAAGACACTGCTTGTCCTCTAAGCCTTAAGCAAGATCAAGTGCAGTATACTCAATGGCTTTGGGCGGGTCTAATCTCTGGTAAATAAAATGGCAGGCTCTTTATCATGTGCCAGAGGCTTTCCCAAATGTTGTCAAGACTATGGGGAACTTAGAGGACAAGCATCTGTCATCTTTGTAGAGATAGGAGCCTGAAGCCTGGGCTACCTGAGAATGCCAGAGCTTGGGCTATGACCCAAGTCCAAGGCCCTTTCATGGTGGTTAAACAAATACTTAGCAATTGTTGATGGGTACCAGTGCTGCAAGGGTCCTGCTGTGCAGAGGCTGGCAAGGTCTCCTAGCACTGCAGGGTTCAGAAGAACAAGTCCAGGGACTGGTTCTGCATGACACAGGGCTGGTCTTGGCCAGACACTAGGCACAGAGTGAGACTGCCCACAAGGAGCCTTCCCAGGAAACCCAGGCACACCTGGCCTAGTAGAGATAGGCACGTGAGCAGGCTTGGTGTGGGGAGTTCTCCAGCAAGGGCTGGCAGCAGATGCTGTGGGAGTTGCAGGGCATCATCTCAGACCTGGGGTCAGTTTAGCTACCTGGCAGAGCAAAAGTACCTAGCTGAGTCTTCAAAGACTCCTGGGAGTTGAGACCAGAGGGAAATTATGCCCAAAGAGTTGGGGGCCAGGCCTCCAGAACAGGAGCTTGTGTAGGAGAGACAGCTTCTAGCTCCCAGGAAGGCGCAACTCCTCACATTGTCTCCTTAAATAAAGGCTGTGCCAGCCAGCCTGTGGAAAGCAAGAGTGGTCTTCCTCTCCACCAGCCCTCATGCCACTTGCACAGTGGGCCATCTGCAGCATTGCACTCTTTTGGCTTCCAGTACCTCTCCTCTCCTGGGTTTCTTCCTTCATCCTGGTTCCTCTTCATCAGAGCAGCCCAGGCCTCAATCCTTGTCCACTTTGTTGTGCAGAAACCCCAGTCCCTAGACTTCTTCTCCGCATACTCTTTAGAGATTTCATCCAGGTTTGTGGCATTATTTTTATTTTTGCCGTGCTGGGGATTGAACCCAGGGCCTTTACTGTGTTATGCAAAGGCTCGACCTCTAAGCTACATCCCAAGCCCCAAACTCATGGCTTTAAATACTTCATTAATTCATCAGGGTTTTCCAGAAACAACCAGTAGAAGAGATTTATTATAAGGGATTGGCTCTACATCTTGACTGCAACCTCAGGAGAGACCATAACACAGAACAATCTAACTAATGTGCTCAGGATTCCCAAACAGCAGAAACTGTGACATAACATGCTGCTTATTGGGAGCCACTGAATTTTGAGTAGTTTGTTATGTTATAATAGGTAATTAATACACGATCTTGGATAAGGTTCTTTTGTTACAGACTCAATGTTTATGAGCCTCCAAAATTTGTATCTGGAGGTGGGCCTTTTGTAGATGACTAGGTCATGAGAGTGGCGCCTTCATAAATGGGACTAGTGCCTTTATAAGAGACCCCAGAGAGTGAAGAGACAGCTATCTATGAAACAGGAAATGGGCCTTTACAGGTAGCAAATCTGCTGGCACCTTGAGCTTCCCAGCCTTCAGAACTGTGAGAAATAAATTTCTGTTGTTTGTTGAAAACTAAAATAAGGGATCAGCTCAGGCAATTATGGAGACACAAGTCCCATGATCTATCTTCATGCTATAAATCAAGGAAAGCTGAGGCTGAGGCCTATGTGGTAGATTCCAGTCCAAGTCCGAAGGCCTGAGAACCAGGAATGCCAAGGGCAGGAAGAGATGGCTGCCTCAACTCACAATCCGGCAGAGGGAGGGAGATTTCCACCTTCTTCTGCCTTTTTGTTCTATTCAGACCCCAAGGAACTGGATGAGGCCACCACACTGGGGAGAACCCTCTGCTTACCTGCCTATGCAGTCCAGCAATTCAAATGCTAATAGCTTCTGGACATAACTTCCCAGACACACCCAGAGAGAATGCTTAATGATGCTTCTGGGCATCCTGTGGCCCAGTCAAGTTGTCACCAATCAGTTTGCTGCCCTAATGCTGATCATTCCCAGACCTCTCAGTATCTCCTCTAGCCAGGTGTTGTGGCGCATGCCTGTAATCCCAGAGACTTGGAAAGCTAAGGCAGGACGATCCAAAGCTTAAGGACAGCCTCAGCAATTTAACAAGACCCTGTCTCAAAATAAAAATAAACTGAGGATATAACTTAGTGGTAAAGTGCCTCTGGATTAAAAAAAAGACTTGTCCCTAAACTCCAGACTCATATATCTGACCTCCTCCTCAATATCTCCATTTGTATATCCAAGAGGCCTTTAAGGCAAATTCCTTCCTAATCTTCTCACCTGCAGCCCCAACCTGCCCTTCTTGTCCTCTCCTCTTAAAGAGTATTTTTAAATAGCAAAAAAGACAAAAATATGTATTTGTGTGTAGTACTGGGAATTGAACCCGGGAGGATTTTTCCTCTGAGCTCCCAGCCCTTGTTTTTTAATTTTATTTTGACATAGGGTCTTGGTCTTGCTAAGTTATCCAGGCTGGCCTCAAACTTCAAATCCTCCTATCTCAACCTCCTGAGTAGATAGGACAGTTGTATGCCACCATGCCAGACTAAAACTATATATTTTAAGGTATGAAACTCAATTTGAAATATGTATATGTTGTGAAATAATCACCACAGTCAAACTAATTAAAATATACTTTACCAGATGGGCTCAGTGGCACACCACCTGTAAGCTTGGCTATTCAGGAGCCTGAGGAAGGAGGATCACAATTTCAAGGCCAGCTCGGGCAAGTCAGTGAGACCCTGTCTCAAAGAGAAAATACTGGGGATGTAGCTCAGTGGGAGAGTGCTTGCCCAGTATGTGCAGTATGTGCAAGGCCCTTAGTTCAATCCCTATACTGCAAAAAAGAGAAAAAAAGAAATCCATCACCTCACATAGTTACCATTGTATGTGTGTAGGTAGAACACTGAGGCTCTATCTTCTTAGAAAATTTCAAGTATTCAGTATAATATGCTAACCTATGATCACCATGATTTTATTTTTATATATATGTATATATATATATATATATATATATTTAAAAAGATTTTGTTTTCCCAAATGTATATTGGTTGGACCTATTCCTGCATCTTCACCAATTTCTGATGTTAATTACTTGAGTTCCATGCTTTGAAACCAGTTTGAGAAGTCCTTTATGTGGAGCTTCCAGAAACTTGCCCTGGCCAGGGAACTTTGAATCTTCACCCCCTCAGAGACCATAGCTGGGGTTATAAGCTTACACCTGGGAACGTCCTTACAGAGTTTGTCATAAGTAGCTTTGTCAAACAAAATTAGATTGTTGAACTTTGCAAACTTTGCCTTTGAACCACTTCTTTGGTTTTGCCCCCAATCGGTTCACTGGGTCCTCGTCTTTCTTGGCTGACTTTCCAGCATCTTTCTTCTTCTTTTTGTACTTGGGTGACATTGTAAAGCTCAGCTAAGATCACTATGCTCTATATTTAGACCTATAAAATTTATTAATCCTCCATAACTGAAACTTTGTACCCTTTGACCAACATCTTCCCTTCCTGCAGCCCCTGGCAACCACCATCTCTGATTGTATGAGTTTAACTAGTTTAGATTCCCCATAGAAGTGAAATCGTACAGTGTTTCTGTGTCTAGCTTATTTCTCTTAGCACAAGGTCCTCAAGATCCATTTGTTGACACAAATGTCAAGACTTCCTTCTTTTAAAAGGTTGAGTTCCTAGTGCGGTGTTTGCGTGTACTGTGTTTTTTATCCATTCCTCGGGTGATGGACATTTGAATTGTGTCTGTTTCTTCTCTATTGTAAATCATGCAGTGAACATAGATGTGTAAGTGTCTCTTCGAGGCACAAATTTCCTTTTCTTTGGATAAATACCCTGAAGTGGGGTTGCAGGCTCACATGGTAGTTCTATTTTTTACTTTCTGAGGAGCTGGTTTACTGTTTTTCATAATAATTGTACATTCCCACCATCGAACACCAGGGTCCTAATTTCTCCACATCTTCACCAACAATTACCTTTGGCTTTTTCCCAGTAACAGTCATTCTAGGTAAGCAGTGTGAGCTGATATGTCTTGTTTTTTTTTTTTTTTTTTGAAGGGGGTGGGGAGGTACTAAGGATTGAACTCAGGGGCACTCGACCACTGAGCCACATCCCCAGCCCTATTTTGTATTTTATTTAGAGACAGGGTCTCACTGAGTTGCTTAGTGCCTCACTTTTGCTGAGGCTGGCTTTGAACTCATAATCCTCATGCCTCAGCCTCCTGAGTGCTGGGATTATAGGCTTGTGCCACCATGCCTAGCTCTATGTCCTAGTTTTGATTGACATTTCTCTGATGATTAATAATGTTAATCATTATTTTCATATAACCTATTGGCCATTTGTATGTCTTCATTGGATATACAAGCCTTCCAAGTCACTGGGGTCATAGGTGTGCACCACTATGCCTGGCTCAGAATGTTTTAGTTTGATATTCTCCTTTTTAATTTTTATCTTTGCTGCCAGTATTTTTAGTGTCATATCCAAAGGCTTTTTTTTTTTTAAGTACCTTAACTACTGACCCACATCCAGCCCCTTTTTATGTTTTATTTTGAGACATGGTCTCGCTAAGTTTCTTAGGACCTCACTAAGTGGTTGAGGCTTGGTTAGAATTTGCAATGCTCTTGCCTCAGCCTCCTAGAGCTGCTGGAATTACA